TTGAACCAGAGCAAATTCTAGTACCGTTAAAAGTAAATCATTTTCGAAGGAACTGTAAGCTCCGTCCAGTTTACGTGTGTAGCATTTAAATCCTCAACTATTAGGTATCTGTTACTTCCACTTTAGTTACGTATGTGAGCACGAAGTCATTTGCAAAGCAAGATGGACTACGGTAAATTATCCCAACAGTACAAAAACCTTGCTTTGACTTCAGCTCACAACTGGGCACTTTGCAGGTGTCGCATTCATGTGCTTCAGAAGTGACTGATCTTATGTGGACGTTTTCACGGATACATAGAATGCCACCATCTTTGCGACCCACAACCCTATCTTTCCCTACACAGCAATACCCTGTTAGAAATGGCTTAAAGTTTCAATCCTTTTATTAGCTAGTTTTCAGTTAGGGCCTGCTACATCAGGACTTAGTTCACAGACTACAATCTCAGCGTCTGTTACTTTACTTTTAATGCTGCAAACATTGGTGTAGATAACGTTAACTGTGTTTGAAGAGTTCTATGACCCACCCACACAAGCCTTGGAAGCATTCGTTTCTAAGACCTCACAACCCGAAAACCCACGGTCTTAAGATATTTCTCTCCAATAATTTGTCTAGCCTTAAAGTCAGCGAGAGCCTCTCTTCTTTTTGTCCTGTCCTTGTGAGGCCAGTCAGGTCGGATGCAGATATCTAAATTTCGTAGCTTGGATGTGTTAGTAAAGGGTACATCCATCCATACATCTTTGTGTCTGGAGCAACCTTTAAAATCCCCCTCTCATCGGGTTTGTCATTCTTTTATTTCTAACTAGCCTGCCTACTTTGGAGATGTGTACTCCTTTGGACGTTTTAGATAGGATATGTCTGATGGCCGACTCGACCACTTTCAGGTTATGCGTATGAAATATTGAAGGGCCCTCATCCGATAACCCCTCATCACTCCAAAAGATCACGCTAGACGTTGGTGAGAAATCCTTGTATCTCGTGGTGACCGCCTCCGAAACTTTCTCGAAGGGTTTCATAGGCTTAGTAGCTACGGTAATAACCTTTGGAGGTCCCTTCGAATTCCTTCTTGGAGAAGTCCATTTAAATTCGTTGATAATCTCCATAGCGTCAACGTTGTTTCGGTGAAACCTTGAGGATTCTCTCGCTTTCCTTTTACGTTGAGAACGCTTCAGAACCGAAATCGGTGTAATCTCACCGATTAGATAACTTGTACGCAACAGTTCGTCCTTAGGCCTCATGTCAGAAGTATTGGTAATGACATCATCATCTGATGTTGCATCAGAGTGACAGCTATCATTACCATATGAGTGTTTCTTGACCAGTAACATTCCGAAACCTTCCTGAGTTAGGGCTGACAAGGGCTCACAGTAGAAGTCACATAACCTGGGAGAATTCGGTTTACTGCAACGTTTGTACACAGTTGGTGTCAATTCGGCACAAACTTCGTGGAACCAACATTCATATGCATCCCATTGGATTCCTTCGTTGACTAGGAATTCGCATCTGGGTCAACCGCAAACGTGATTATCACTAACCATGTTATTCACAATCCAGTTACAGTTCCCACAAGAATTGTATTCGCACTAAAGTATTCAGTCGAAATTGGGAGGGAGAGATTTAATTTGCAATAACACAACAAAAGGGATGACAAAAACCAACCTTTAAGCGATAAACCTTCAGACGCTAACTGGATTACTTGAAGTCAAGGCTTATAAGAGAGCTTTAATGTAGATTACACAACAAAAGTTGCAACACTACGCATCATCATAAAACAGAGTACAGAATTGCAGTCAACTCTCTACCTCAGCCTCATCGATTCTGAAAAGGCCTTCGACAGCACTGATCAAGAAGTAATTTGGAAACTGCTTCAACGCTACGGCTTTGGTGTCACAAACCTTTATCAACCTCACTCAGCAACTATATGCTATATGATGCTACATGCCAAGCGATTCACAATGGAAAGCTCAGTGACGCCTTTAAAGTGAAGACAGGAGTAAGACAAGGCTGCCTACTATCACCTGGTTGTGGTCGTGAGGAGCGAGAAGATGAGCACACACTGGATGGACCGATGAGAAGACCCCAGAAGAAGATTTGGATTTCGCCGATAATGATTTCTGTCCACCGTTGCACAAAATCGAAGATCCACAGGCGAAAACCAACAAGATGGCGGAGGAGGCAGGGAAGCGAAAACGGGACTTCATGTGAACGTGGAGAAGGCAAAGGTGATGAAGATGCTCATCCAACAACATCAACAACAAGCAACAATCACCATTAACGGGAGAAACCCAAGGGAAGTAGTCGCTTTCGCCTACCTAGGCAGTATCGTCTCAACTACATGTGGTGGCACAGATGAAGACGTCGAAGCCAGGATCGGAAAAGCAAGATAGACCTTCATTAATCTACTGCACTCAGTATAAAGAACAAGATCCGCATTTTCAAAACTAATGTCAGCCAGGTCAGTGCTTCTATGTGACGGTTAAAAGACTATGCGCGTTACGAAAAGCATTCCCAACAAACTGCAGACATTCATCAACAGCTGCCACCTAAGCTCACTTGATACTGACACTGATCAGATGGCCAAAATAATAAGAATAAGCAACAAGGAACTCACTGTAGCTGGCAACGCACCAACCAAGAACCCACCTCCCAAAAAATATGCAGAAGAAAGTAGAGATGAATTGGGCATACACTGAGAAGACCATTCAGAGACATCATGCTCCAAGCCAGGCCCTCGAGTGGAATCCAGATGGGAAACGACGAGCTGGGCGTACGAGGCGAGGGTGACATGGAGGAGGTGGTGTGAGGAAGAAATGACAGCTTCTGGGCAGTTGTGGAGTCAAGTTGAAAAGACTGCAGTGAACAAAGTGCAATGGAGACGTTCTACTGAAGCCCTATGTTCCACTAGAAACCCAAGGGACAAATAATAAAATACACAACGAAAGCCTAAAATGTCAAAAGCGTGGAAAAATTCACTTCTTGTTCAATGTCACCTTAAGGTATGGTTTGTGACATCAGTCATCAATGCACTCATGTGAACTGCAATCCCAGACAGCTGCATGGGTTCAACGGTGTGCTGGCAAAACAACCGTTCAGCGGCACTTAGCTGTGCTTGGGTTGCAGGAATAGACATAATTAATTGGGTCAAAAGCTGAAGAGATCAGATGTTAACTGTTGGGTGTCGGACGCTTCAGTTTAGACCATAGACCTTGCCCGTAAAATTACTGAAAGGATTGGATTTATCTGTTAAAATTAGTTCACATAATGTGACAAGTATGGCAGGTTCCACAAATAAGAAATGTAGCTTAAATCTACAAATCATAAGGAGAGAGGAATTGAATGTACCCATCATAAGCTCGGAAAGGCCAAAAATGGAATGATCTATTGAATGCAACTCACAGCAATGAAATCCTCAGGTAATTCTTTCAGTTAGGGACAAGAGAGGTCAGTGCTTATTATTCTTGTAAACGAAAAAAGCGCACACGTTTGAGGATGAAAATCTAGATGAAGGTAAGGAAGTTGATAACTTTGAGGAGGATAGCCTACAATGCTCAAAGCCACTCAGTAAAAGAATGTCGACACGACATCGTCCACTGAATGACTCATTTGGTATTGATAACTAACCAGGCTTGAACTGTGGGTGTCTGGTAAGCATTTGTGTTAAAAGGAGTGCGAGCACTGATAACTGAAGGAGAGATACGAAAAGAATCAGTAGAATAAAAACTAAGCTAACAGGACCGACATCGCATGAGCCTACTCATCTACCGACTTTCGTTTACCAAAGGGTCTCTTAAACCCGAAAGAGTATTTTCTGAAAAACCTACGTCTCAACATGGGCTATCGAAGTTGAATTCATTGGACCTATGTCAGCCAGCGAGTACCACGATGGGACTTAATGGGGTTTGATCTGCTAAAGGACTGGAACGTCAAGCAGAGGACAGTACGATGCTTCCCAGTCTAGTCAAGGGAATTTACTTCGGCTTAACATAAATAAGTGGTAAATAGCGTTCGTGAATGACTATTAGAAATAATTATTACTCTACAGGAGGGACTAAGGTATCTCGTTATGAGGCTTAGAAGGACTTAGAGAGAGTGTGTGTGATTGAGACTTTTGGCACCTTTAGGCATTGTTGATAATTTGCAAATAAGACGTGGTATGCTTGAGTTGCTTTCATCGACCTTAGAAGACTTAAGACTATGACCTTCCAAAACAGTTTACAGGTTGTATATCTGGCCACATCTGAAAGCAACCTAAGTCATTGTATTGTCTTACCTCTAAAAGAATGTTGCTTTTCCAGGATTAGTCCGGGAATTGACAACTAACAAAGTGATTAGGGCCAAAAATAAACCATATTCAGGCCCCCTGTGCGTATTAGACCTACCATCTGTACAGTACAGACGGATAAAGGAGCATCCAATTATGATGTATTATATCGCCCACAATTGTAATCGCCCAATAGCTCTTAGAGTAAAACCCTAAATCCAGTTGGAGAGAATATGCTTTCCAGGTTAGGCATAAAAGAGCCTGCACTAAAATTCTTGAAAACTTTCACCATGAAATTACATAACTTGTGCAATCTTCCGGTGGGTGTTGTGATGGCTACGTCGCCTGAAAACCTTTGAACGGAAGTTGGGTATCTGCCTTAGTAACAGTATGACATGGGAATATATTCAGTGTATGACGTTCACGAGCAATTTTCGAGGAATAGAAAGCGCAGAGATTATCCAGTATTAATGTTCGCTTGATTCTTGTAAGACCTTGGTGAGAAGTAAACAAGGACGAAACTCCATTCCTAAGATCCAATTTTAATATCACAGTAGCAACTCAGAGAACTTTCATTTTGGCACTCCTGCGACATGAAGAGTTGAAGATCCAAAGTTCGTCCGCTGTACACAAAAGATGTAATTGTAATGGAATTAAAACTGTACTTTCCAGTTTAGATTTCCAAGTTGCCTTGTCTTCTCGCCGGGAATTACTAATGTTTCTCGATTGTACTAGATCATTGAACATCATATGTCTGTTGAGCCGTCGGCTAATGTCCTCTTTTTTCCTTTTCCAGATCCTTGTGCTGTCTCAGTGGGGGTACCACCACCAAGCTTACGTTCTCTCCATCACTCCCTGCAACTACGTACCTACAGGCTAGACGCAAACCTCTCAACAACCGTTTGTTAGGTGATTGGTTAGTTTTTTCGTGACTCCAGAAATACGGTGATATTTGTTGTTTGGCCATGAACGACGAGGAGAATTTGCAAAAGATTATGATGATGGGCTTCACGGATGAGGAAAATATAAGAGCTGTCTTAAAGTCTTGCAGTTCAGATGTGAATGAAGCAATTTCTCTATTGGCATCTGAGGGTACATACTCAGGAAATAGTTGTAATTTCTTATCGGACAATGTAAGAAAATGTGACGTTCTTTTTATTACTATGTTATTTCATTCAATATATGATCAACTGCATATTTATGTCAACACAATTCTAGTTGGTTTTGCGATACTCAGTTCATTATGTCAGTCATAACCGACTGTGAAAAATGAGACAGAAGAGTGAAAAACGGCTCGGTGGTGCAATAAATTCATAGTGATAGGGAAATGCAACATGTTAACCTCCTATTTTCCCCTTTTTCATCTTTATTTCCCCATTCGCACCAACTTAGGTGACCATTATAGGGAAATTTAGAGAGAGCCATTGGACGATTTCTCGGGATTCGCGACAGTTAGTCCTCACATGACCCAAAACTATATGCAGATTTCCCAACTTCTAGAATGTTTTTCTATTCCTCCGACCTTCCTTAATTGTGTGTTTATTTTTCATCATTTCCACCGTAGGATCTTTGATTTCCGCTCGCGTGCTTTGATGCTTTGCCTGTTGTTTAAATGATGAATTGCCTTTCGAGTAACCTTTTCTTTTTATCACTTCTGCTGTAAAAGACTGCAGAATTGAAACTCAGACAAGTAGTATAGTCCTTATTTTTCTATTTATTTAAAAAATCTCACTTCAGACTTTTTGTAGCATTATTGCATAGCTCATCTCAGGAGTTTTATTTACTCCTCACTCAGTTGTGTACGACTCGTCTGCAAAATACCTGTTAAGTGAAATAAGTTATTATAGATTATCCCAATTTCTACGTATCAAATGATTTATTTCATATGAATTACGGTCCATTGTGGGCACGAGATTTACTTGTATATGTGCATAATACAGATGGAAAAGGGTTCAAGTTGGCCAGACCGAGACATGGCACCAGTCTATGAAGTCGCTGACTGTTGCCCCACCGTGCGGGAAGATGTCGACTGCCTTGGAATCAGCGGTTGAGGACTCTTGGTGGCATGGCTGAAAATCAGTCGCAATGGCACAGATGTATTCACTCTTTGATATATCTTCTAATAGTTGACTATTTTGTATCGTTATAATTACTCCTTGAGATAAAAGTGGTGTCGGCGTATTACTCTTCCTTCTGTAGATGGTTTGATTTCAAACGTCATTCAAAAACTTGATATCGTTTTGTTATCTATTAGTTTTGGCGAAAAAGAATACTTACAGAGTGGTTTCTCAACCGTTTAAGGTAGTTGTGATATCTTAGTGTACAACAGCTTTGGACGAGCTATAGTTCTTTATCGAGTATGATTGTAATCCGTGTTATGTTTGATACTTCAAATATTCGGTTGGAGCTTCTGTCAAAGAAGTTAGTATTAATCTGTGTGCCACAGTTTCACTAATGGGATTTCCGTTATAGGAATTAATTTTGGCTTGTGTCGATATTTAGAAGGCCTCCCTACTAACAATGACCAATTTAAAATCTAGTTAATAAATACAAACTACTATACGATTCTTGAAGAGAATTTCTTAACAAACGTTTTAAAGTTTGCTATAATCAGTGCAAATATTAATAAATCAATTATTAATGTAGCCATATTTTTGGGGGATTTCGGTATTAGGTCGAGAACCGTGCAGCGTAGCAGTAATTATCCGTTGGTATAGGGGATTTATAAAGTTTGAAACAAAAATAAAGAAGAATTGAGTATTCTTAGCGTAAAAATGTCTTACCAGACTACAATCGAATGGTATAACCTCATTCAGATACTCAGTGTGTGGGGAAAGGTCCTGAACATTGAGATAAATAAGAGTATTTGAGGCAGAAAAAAAATTTGTGGCGTAAGGATCCACCACAAGTGAGATAATCCAAACCATAAAAAAGCTGGTCATCTTTTTAAAAAGTGCCAAAAAGTTAATCGCTTTTGCAAAAAAAATAGTGTGAATTGCTTACTTTAGAAGGACTGACAGTTGTTAGAGCTCAGATTTCAAACAAAAAGGCATTAATATAGAATTCAGTATCACTACCTAATGATGCGATTTCCTGCCAACTAGACTTTCACCATTGGATGCGCTGGTAAAATAGACTTGCATTACACGAAATCAAACAGACACAGTGCAGTCAAGTTTGTCGAGCACTCCTTTTTGCAAACTTCAATCTTGATGATTACGTTTTCCTCCTGAGGAGGCTTGCTTACAATACAGCCAATTAAGTCACAATATAAAAATAATGGGATAGTAAATGTATCGTTCATGGTCGCGATATACCGCATGCACTGTTATAGCTTACTTTACGTGACTGACAGTTGTTTTTCCACCGTTTTGTTTCAATTTTTCCAGAATGTAGTCAATGAACAAGTATCAGAAGATAAATGTTCTGGAAGAGGAGATACTTCAGTGGAAAAAGACATGGATCCACTCGATAACATGATCAAAGGACATGATATTAGCCGAGGATTTACATCTTTTGAATTTAACAGACTTCAGAATCGCATTTCTACAGAACAGTGGGATATTCCCTGTTTAAGATCACAATCTCTTGGCCTTTGTCTGTTGGGCACCATTCATGAAATCAAAGTTAATGGTCTGAAAATCTTCGACTTATACCCTGAAGCTGAACGATTCCTCACTAGCTGCCTCAAAGAATGTGTTTCTAAGGTAATGCATTTTTGTGTTTTATTGCGTTGACCGAAAACTTTGGAGTTTTGTTTGCTTATGAGGGAGTAATATTCAGCTCCTTTGCACTAGGGGGTTTACACTTTATAAGCTTAGGTACGGTCCTTTCTCTGTTTAATCGTTCGATGTAATATCATGCTGACTAACACTTTGAACTAATTTTTTTGATCGCTGCTACCTTGACGTTATTGTCGGGCTCTCACACCACAGTGACCTGACGAGCTATTCTAAGGGAAATGTTTGTTCCTTGGGGTTCTAATATTCAAGAAATGTCTGATGAACGGTGGCAAAAAAGCAGTTACCGTCCTAGCGTAAACAACTACATTGTGGTGCTGGTTTGAGAGGTGATATCCGACTACTTATTAAGGCTCGAGTGTACTTCCTTGTAGTGCTTTCTGATCTACTGTGTGGTTGTGAAACACGACCGGTAAAGATGAAGAACATGACGATAATGATATATTTGCTTTATTCCTAACCATAACTATATTTACTGTACAGAATTCTCAGCGTGTGATATTGCATCAAGTTACCCGTTGTATAACATTTTTCAAATATATGTCAAAAATTGTTATGTTTAACGATATATGATAGAGAATAATATGGTTGTTAAGGTGTTAAATGAATTCAGGGACATGATAACTTCGATTTTGCAAAGTCGACTGATGAGACTATGTCTGAGATGATTTTTTTCACACAATACACAAGATAAATAAGGTAAGGTTGATTTTTGTATGTAGTTGTGCGTGCATAGAGTTTAACATGCTTTCTTCTTGTCTTCCGTGAGGGTAGATATAGAGAAAGATGTGAATGCAGAGGATGCTTGTTATCGGATGAAATATTTTTAGCCAGTACTCTGCAAGAGTTCAGCTGCCTATCTACGATCGTATTTATCAGCACGGTTAGGCGTTGGATGTTTGGCCACCGTTGTCCTTCGTGGCGAAGACAGTATATTGTAGAACTACCACGTCAGTACAGCACCAGTCGGATGCAGAGTTTTGGGCAGAAGAAACAATTCCTACAATGGCACTTAGGTTTTGATATCACAAGGACCAAATGTTGACCCTAAAGGAATGGATGGACTTCATGATCTGACTCAAGTGCTTCACGTCAAGGTCTGTTAGAAAGCCCTTGATGTGGATTGCACAACAAACGCAAAAATGTCAAAAGTGTGGAAAAATTCACTGATTGTTTTTTTCAAAGCGCGCGCCTGTTGTTGTTTTACTCTCGGATAGTTGTTTAACGCTGGATTGCTTTTCCTGGAAAAGTAATTGAGACTACCTCGTGTGAATCGTTTAAACGCTGGCTTGATGCTTATTTGAGTTGTTTGTGTGGTTTGTCTGAAACTAACTGAAATTTTGAAGTTTAATCCTCACAATTTTCTCTTTTTTCAATTTTACGCAGGTTTAATATCACGAAAAGTAGTGATTCATCGATTTTAGAGGCGGAAGTCAGTTAAGTCGAAGTTGCTTCTATTACGCCAACAATCATTTGAACTATTTGACGGAGACTGCAATCAATGGAACTACGGCGGGTGTTTAATCCCATGATGTTGTCGTTGGTGGAACAGGAGTTGAACCTTACATGCACTGAAATTGTTCACAGTGTTAAGGATGTTGACGATATCGCAAGCTGCGACATAAACACAACTGGATGTGTCGAATATCTGAAGGAACACTCAAGGAGCGATGATGAATGGATTGGGAATCCTTTAGAGATTGTGAAAAATTGCGGATTTGTCATTGGAATCCAATTTAGTTGATATCGACGAATGCAAAAAATTTAAGTCCAGATTTTTCGATTTCAATCGATGCAAGGCTCTAAACCAGTACTTGTGGAACTTTTAAAATATACTCAGAAAGCCTGTTGGAGGTTATTTAGATAATACTCTGTATTATATTCATGAAGATGGGCCGCAATTTATAGGATTCTTTTCAGCGTCAAAAACATCCAAAAAAATCTTGCGAATAAGCTCAGAGTTTGGTGAGTATACTTAATGTGCCTCCAGATTTCAGATGTTAATGTCAATCGTTCGATCAATGAGATATGTCGTGAATTCACGTTGTATTACCCCGTACGTTTGATCTCACATACCTTATGAACTTAAGGAAGTCACTTGTTCTTTTGAGTCGATCTACAAGTTTTATATGGGTGATTTTAGAGCAAAGTTTGACACATGTGAGGCGAATGTCTTGAGCCCACCTCCACCTTTCGTTTCCGGAGAGCTGGTATGTCGACTGCTGACATATACTTACTTCAGACTGTAAATATTATGCCATATAAATCCAATGAATGGGTTCCAGGACTTTTGGAGGAAATATTCCATGTGAAGGTAACATTTCTATCATTGTTAAATTGTCAGGAATTATATCGCATTTACCAGTGTGGTTCACCAACATGGCTTTCAGACTCTGTTCTTAACTGTGACAAGATTGTAGAGAAATTTTCTGAGATCTTCAAACCAGGTAAACCATTGAAGCAAAAACCATAAAGTTCAGCGAAGTTAAATAACATCCACCGTATAGGTAAGAAAGCTATTGGTCTTCATTTTTGTGTCCTCCTTTCCGAACGCCCGTTGGATACATCTGAGGTTATCTGGAATGTATTGAAAGGTGGGTACATGTTGTGAAGTGCTTTTCGTACATAATTTAGTTGGTGAATATTAACCTTAACTACGTGAGTCACAAACCGACCGTATCCAAACGGTGTGAATTAACATTTTTCGTCATCACTGTTTACATAACTATATTGCCTGTGTACTCAGATATGGCTGTACTGAGTGTGGCAGTGAGCTATCATGCAAAGCGGTGCGCTCCTGGCTAGTAGCTGTCACCATGTGGTGGTCCTCAAACTTGTATATCGCAATGAGCCAAGTATACTGCTGTAAAGCATTACTCCTTAAGGTCTCACTTTATCCGAAAAAGCCATTTCAGTTATTATCAGAAGACGCAGTTTGCTTCATGGGTGGCATGAAAACTACACTATGATGACATTCTTTGGTGAGTTGTCTCGCTATGGTAATGAGGTTCTGAAGCCAGTTAGGTATTTCCTGCGAGCAACCAGCAGTCCATACTGATGGTGTTGTTTCCGAGAACATGGGGTTAAGAAGTTGCCAAAATATCACTTATTGGCCTGTGACATTCTCGTACTAGCAGCATTACTTTTCTCGTGCGTTATCACTACTGAATCTCAGTCCAAATAAAAAGCCTTATCTATATCCATCTCCTTGCCTATATTTCTTAGTACCAGTATTACTCGTGTAGCTTTCCCGACCCCTGACCCAGTTACCATTGCATACGACTAAGCTAGTACAACACCATTCATAGTCTTGAGAAACCATGTTGCCAATTTCACATTGAAGCTTTTAGTATCCAAAAGTTAAATTTAATTGGATTTCAAGTATCTCTTACCAAGACTCAGTAGTCGCGGGCCATAGTTGTATATTTCTGAGAAATGCCCACAGAAAAAGCGTGGTGCTTCATTTGACCAACATACTGAATCGTCCAAACTTACTTCACAAATGTCCTGAGATTTGAATTCTGGCTCCTGTTCATTGACTGCTCTAAGCCATACTTTGAGGCGTAAAGCAGCAAGCGCAACTTATCTGCTTATCTGTCAACAGCCGTTTGTGTGCTACCCTTAAGAATTGTGTCGTATCGTGATACACCAACACCTAGTCCTTATTTCCAGCAAGGTACCTAGCGACTGCAGTTTGAATGGTACAAACGACTAATTTACTAAAAGCTGTCGAGGTTTGCTGCAGTGTATCTCAGCGGTTCATTCCGAATCAATGGATACGCGTGAGCGTATCTACTAATTTAAAGTAGTGGTCAAACTTGTGTATCACAGTGACCCAACGAGCTACACTTGCTGGACCTCGGGTTCCAGAAAGGTCCGTTGGATTCTGATAAGATGAAACGTAGTTACCGTTGTAGTGTAAGCTGCTGCACTATGATAAGGATCCCTTGGCGAACTCGTACTGCTGCTAGCTGGATGGGGTTTGACAGCAATAAGGTGTTTCCAACCGATGACCAGTGATGCCACTTAGGTGTTGCCTCCCTTATGAAAGTGGGGTAGGCTTAGAAAACGTCGGCCCCCAAAATGCAGTAATAGTGCCGTCAGACTGGTTTACCTCACTGATTATGCCAGTCTATAAGAAAGACGAGTCTTGCTGTGGCAACTAAAGGGAAATTAGTTTGACTAATATGTTCAGTCTGTAGTTATCCGACACCTAACTGGACCTCGAGAAGGTCAGATAGGTTCCAAACAGAGCTGAACGAGGATGTATGGATAAGATTTTCACCCTCCAACAAGTTCTGGAACACCGGCATGCTTATCGACGGTCGATATGTACCATATTGCTTGACATGAGGGCGACATTTGACTTTGTCGATCGTGAGGTGTTGTGTCAGGTCTGACTGTGAAAGGAATACCGAGCAAGTATATGACGCTAACCAAAGCTCTCGACTCGAATGTATACAGCCGTGTAAGAGCTAATGGAGAGTTGTCTTGTGAGTTGACGACAACTAGTGTTCGCTAGTGGTACCCACCATCACCGTTCCTGTTTAACTTCGCTGTAGACGTACTAATGAACATTACCACAGGTACGTGTGACTTCATGAGGATGGGTCAACTCCATGGAGGTCATGGGACACGTACTACATATGCCTAGTCACCGATTGCCTCGTCACACAATGTTGGCTGAGGTGGGTCCAGGCTGGAAAGAGGCCCGAGGTGGCCAGACGAAAACGTGGCACCAATGTATGAAGTCTGTGACTGTTGGTTTAAGCCATGTAGGACGATTCAGACTAGGTGGTTGGGGTCCGCGGGACAAGAGGATCCAGTGGTTGGAGACCCTAGGTCATATGTCTCAGAACCGATGTCAGTGGCACAGATGTATACATACATTATCCTCATCTTAACAACGCTATACCGAATCTCATCATTTTGTCACTCCTCTTTCCTTTCTTCTCATACTTTATATTTCTTTTGACTGCATTCACTTATCTTCATCCTTCACCTCACTACCTTTCTACTTGATGAACTGACGTGAGGTGTGGCAACTCGGACCCTTACGCAGTAATGCCTGGTCCTATGTTGATAATAATAATGATGATGATGGAGGTCATCTCGTTGACTTGGAGTATGCAAACAATATTCTCTCGGTAGGTAAAGAGGCTGACGAAATCCTGGATCTTCTGAATATGTTGATCAGAAATCTGAGTATGTTTGACATGCTTTTCGCCCGTGTGAAACGTGAGATGATGTTCCAGGACTAGTCTGCAACTACCTTCAGTTTAGTAATAGGGAGTGAGTGAAGTGGTGGAATGTGTCAACCACTTCACTTACTTAGGGAGGAGCATCAACTCAACCAGGCTGATTGCTGATAAAATCTCAGTTCGTATACACAAGGCCCGTTTGATATTTGCCGACTTGCATCGACTCTGGCTCCAAATGACGAGATATCCGACTATCAATGAAAAGACGAGTATACTGCGTTGCAGTCCGTTCTGTCTTATACGGGTGTTGCGATATGAGCGTTGACAGTAGACGACATGAAGCGGTTGCAGTGTTTTGATCCCAGATGTCTTCGTAGCATTACTCACGTTTGGTGGAATCACCGTGTGAGTAATGTTGAAGTCAGGCGAAGAGTACTAGATAAGACAAGCATGTTGATTGATGAGGTTGTGAACATAAGTCTACTGAGATGGCTTGGATATGTACTGCGCATGTCGAATCACCGTTCGCCTCGACGTGCAATGCTATGGGATGTTGGATTAGGTTGGAAAAAGGTTCAGTATGGCCAAAACAAGATATGACATCAGTCGATGAAGTGTTTGCCTGTTAGTCATGACCGTGTGGGGGTATGTGGACTACCTGGCTGTGGTCCTCGACGATTGATGACAGTAGACAGTTATTTAGACTTATTGAGGAAACTGGGGGGGGGGGGAAGGTCGACTGCGGTTAGTGAGACCATAGCGGAGAAGGACAGATCTGTGATTCACTCTCAGGGAAGACGACTGGAACGATGGGTAGAACACAGAGAAACAGTTTGACTGACCTCTATCCACCATTGCGTTGCCTGCTATCCAGTCGGATCCTGAATGAAATATTGAGATAGGCCGCCAACACTTGCAGGAGTCAAGAAAGCAGTAGGTACCTCGAAACGAGGAAGGGCAGCAGGACCAGGCGGACTAAACTCTCGAGGTGTACAACGATGGCGGTGAGGTGCGCTTAGCCAGGTCAACGGAAGTGGTAACCAACCAGTAAATGGGAATCAAATACGATCCCCTCTGACTGGTCTAAATCATTGATTATCTCAGTCTTCAAGAAAGGCGAGAAGTCCTCTTGTGATAACCACATAGGAATCAGCCTGACGAACATAGTGTCCAAGATCCTAGGTTCTGTAATTCTCCGACGCCTGAGTGAAGCTCGGGAACAGCCAGCCCAAGAAAACCAGGCAGACAGGCTTTAGACCCAGTCGCGGGTGTACTGACCAAATTTTCACACTGCGCCAGGTCCTGGAACACAGGCACGCTTACCGACGCCCGACAATAGCTGTATTTCTCGACGTGAAGGCAGCGGCATTCGACTTCGTTGGTCGAGAAGTCTTATGGTAATGTCTTTCACCGAATGTCGTGCCGAGTGAGTACATCACCTTATTGAAGGCTCTCTACTCGAGTACTTGTGGGCGTGTTAGAGCGTATGGTGAGATGTTTGGGCAGCTGTGCTCGTCAAGTGGTGTCGGTCAAGGGTGCCTACTGTCTCCATTCTTATTCAATTTTATCATAGATGTTCTAATGGAGGTCTCCCTTTCGTCACCTGATTACACAGAGGTTGGCCTAATCACAGGAGAATTTTCGTTATATCTAGAATGTGCGGATGACGTATTCCTGTCAGGTGAAGACGCTGACTGATGAGATGCAGAGTCTTCTGAACACTTTGAGTGGGAACTTGAGGACGTTTTCGGATGCGTTTCTCACCACCGAAATGCAAATTGTTGCTCCAGGATCGGTCTTCAATGGTGCCCCACCGCGACTAAAAGTGGAGAGTGTAGGATCAGTCCTGGTGGCTGGCTCAGTGACCGATGAAATCTCTGCACGAATACAAAAGGCTCGGTTGACTTTTGCCAACTTACGCCACCTGTGGTGCCGTGGTGATATCCGATTGTCTATTAAGAGTTGGGTGTACTGCAAAGCGGTCCGTTCTGTTCTACTTACTGTATGGCTGTGAAACGACCATTAAAGGCGGAAGACATGAGAAGGCTTCAGGTGTTTGACCACCGTTGCCTTCGTAGTGTAGGCCGTATTCCGTGGTGTCACCACGTGAGTAACGCAGACGTCAGGTATAGAGTTTTGGGGAGTAGAGGTAAATCAGTTGACGAGGTTATGAAAATTCATCGACTGAGATGGTTGGGACACGTGTTACGTATGCCTAGTCTCCGTCTGCCTCGTCACACAATGTTGACCAAAGTAGGTTGAGGCTGGAAAAAGGGCTGAGGTGGCCAGACTAGAACATGGCATCAGTGTATGAAGTCTTTGACTGTTGGTTTGAGCCATGTGGGGCGATGTAGACTACCAGGTTGAGGTCCACGGGACAAGAGGAACCAGTGGTTGGAGACTGAGAACCGATGTCAGTGGTGCAGATGTATACACACATTATCCTCACCTTAACGACGCTATATCGAATCTCACCATTTTCTCTTTCTTTCTTCGCATACTTTGTATTTCTTTTGGCTGAATTTCCTTATCTTCATCTTGTACTTACTTCACTGCCTTTTTACTTGATGTACTGATATGAGGTGTGGCAACTCGGGCCGTTACTCAGTAGTGCCTGGTCCTATATTGATATTGATGATGATGATGATGGTCCTCGAGACGGTATAATATTCGGTGGTTGACCATATTTGGTGACATGGTCTCTCATGGGTCACGGTTATCCAGTTGTATTCACTCTTTGACACCTAAAGTTTGAATATTTGCACCAACCGTTATCTTCAACTTGTTGATTCTTTCTCACAGTTCTGTGTACTTTGTTATCATTCGTTTTCTGTCCACTTGTTCTTTGCGTACTACTGTGAAGTTTGTCGCCTTGACCTCGTGGACTAATAATTACTCAGAATGACATTTATTCTTATGTTGTTATGTGTGAACAACGTGATCTGGTTTCTCACCACTGACTATTTTACGCTTACGATAATCTTCTACAGACTTTATTCTTTGCAGGAGCGATTTCCACATGGTCAGGAAACGTCAGAAATTTATTTTTCCACCCCACTGGTACTCTACAAATAAATCTAATTTAAACGAGAATCATCAACATCAGATCAGGCATAACTGCATAAGAATGGAGAGGGTGGTCGGATACGACTCAACGTATACAACTCTCTTAATAACACCATAGATTGTAACATGCTCATGGGTGTTTTGAGTATAGAGTCTTCTTCAACAGATTGATGTGCATACATAGCACCTTTTTCAGTGAGACACTGCCGTAAGACCTCTCAATCTACGGAGTTGAGTGTCGCATACCATCTCTGAGTGTTAAGTGTCAAGCGAGCCACATGCGTCACATGATGTCCTTCTCGGGTATTGACTGTCAGTTCTACTTTTTCACACATTAACTCAAAGAAGTCTTTTTATTTTTGTCTGACCTCTGGGGGCTGAGCTTATCATGGGAGACTCCTTTGTTCGTCCGTAGTATGCGGATAACATAGTCGTTTTAGGTCAAGACGCAAAGCGGTCTGAACATGTTGATGGACAGTTTGAAAATACTGAAGATGCGTTCCTCGCCACACAAATATGAATTGCTACTTCAAAACTGGTCCTCATTGATACTTTGTTTCACAATTGTAAGTGAAGTACGTAAACGTATTGACTACTTAATTAGCTTGTTAAGGTAGATCAGGCCTGGTAAAACAGTTACCGATGAAATCTGTACAGATACAGAAGGCTTATTTGGCTCTCACCAAATCACGCCATTTACTACGCCGCTGTGATATCCGGTTGCCTACTACGAGTTGAGTGCACCGTATCGCAGTTTGCTCTGTCCTGCAATGCGGCTGTGAAACATGATCATCAGAAATGGAGGGTCTAAGAAAGCTCCACATGTTCGACCACCGTTGCTTTTGTAGCGTACACCGTGTGTCATGGTGTCACCATGTTAGTAGCGCCGAAATCATAGATGTGGTTTGCAGTAGCAGAAGTGATCTGGTTAATTTGTCATGCTCACCCACTTACGTGGCATAAAGATATGTCATGACTCACGTGTTGGCTGAGGCAAATTAAGGTAGAAGGTTCGGGCTGCCAGCCTAAATTACGACACCCGTACATACAATCGCTAATCAGTTTGGTCTGTCTGAAGAAACATATACCTTGCAGTTGTGGTCTAACTGACGGCACAGACCGGTCGTTGAATGCTGTGGGTAATATGGCTCAAATGCATCCCAAATTCGATTCATCCTGATCAACTTACCTCATTTTGTTAATGTTTTGTCTCTCCTCTTCGAATCTTATGAATTTCAACCAGTATTAAATATTGTTCCGTTGGTCTTCTGCATCCTTCATCTTTTTGCTTTTCATTTTCGTGTGATTAGTTGCAACTCAAGTGGCTACGCCGTAATGCCAGTTCCCTTATTGTTATTTGCTGATGACTGATAGTTTTACTAGTTATTTACTGAAATTGGGAATTAAGGTGTAGGTGATCACCGTTTATTATAACCGTCACTAGACCTAGGTCTTGTCCTTAGAATTGTTCGCTTTCACTACGCTGACGATGTCAGGTTCTTATCATAAGACCAGGAATGAATCATGTGTTTTACTATTGTCCTTATGCCAACACATTTATTTTCGAATGTTAACGTTTTTACATTGAAAACAGAATCACCGGACAAGCCACCTTCGAAAAATGTATCAGAAGTGCTTTCGACTATCTTCGGGACAAACCTGAGCTAATTTTTGTGAGTCAGCTTTTATTATTTTATATTCGCTATGAAAAATGCGACTGAACGACATTTACATGTTTTATGCTGTAAGCAGCTGACGACAAACCGTGGAATAAAGTAGTATTATGTTACTCTGCTGCAATGTTTGCTCTTCCTGTATTCAACTTCATCTCTCTCTCTCTCTCTCTACATATATATATATGTATATATATATATATATATATAATCATTACTATTATTTATCCCTTGGGTTCCTAGTGGAACATAGGGCTTATAGTAACACGCTACTTTTTCATTCTGTTCTCTGCAGTCTTTTCAACCTGACTCCACCACTGGCACGTGATGTCCCTGAATGGTTGTCTCAGTGTATATCCAGTTCAATCCATCTCCACTTCCTTCTGCATATTTGTTGGGCGATGGGTTCTTGACTGGTTTGTTCGTGCCCGACCAAAGTACCTTGTTGCTTATTCTTTCTGGCCATCTGAGCTTCAGTAACGAGCCAGCGTAGACAGTTGTTGATGATGTGTGCAGTTTGTTGGAAATGCATTTCGTAACGCGCCAAGTCTCTGAACCATGCAGAAGCACTGACTTGACTAGATTGGTGTTGAAAACGCGAATCTTGTTCTTTATGCTGAGTGCAGAAGATCTCCACACTGGTTTCAGGTTAATGAATGTCTGTTTTGCTGTCATTACGATCCTTGCTTTGACGTCCTCATCTGTGGCGCCACCTGTAGTTGAAACAGTGCTGCCTCGGTGGGTGAAAGAGACTACTTGCTATATATTTCTGCCGTTGATGGTGATTGATGCTTGTTGTTGCTGTTGTTGGTTGAGTATCTTCATCATCTCTGTCTTCTCCACGTTCACTTGAAGTTCCGTCTTCACTGACCTGCCTCTTCTATCAACTTGTTGATTTTTGGCTGTAGATCTTCGGGTTTGTGCGACATTAGACCCAAGTCATCGGCGAAATGCAAATCTTCTAAGGTCTTTTCATCGGTCGATCCAGCGTATCCCCTCTTCTCGCTCCTTACTATTTGCTGCGCGATCCCGCCGACCACAATCAGGAATATCATGGGTGATGGTAGACAGCTTTGTCTTGTTTTACTCCTGTCTTCACTTGAAAGGCGTCATCGAGCTTTCCGTTGTGAATCACTTGGCATGTGGCGTCTTTATATAGTTATGACACTAAAACTGTAGTTTATAAGCAGCTACCGAATTACTCCTCGGTGGACGCTGTCGAAGGCTTTTTCAAAATCGATGAAGTTGAGGTAGAAAGTTGACTGCCATTCTATACTCTGTTGTATGATGATGCGTAGTGTTGCGATTTGGTCCTCACATCATTTGTTCTTCCTGAAGCCAGCCTGTTCCGGTCGTAGTTTTGAATTCAGCTCATCCTTTAGTCTCTCCAGGATGGTGCGGCATAATATTTTGCTGGGTGTGAGTGTGTACAGGAGCATGATTCCGCACCAGTTCTTGCAAAGACTCAGATTTCCCTTTTTTGGGAGTTTGACGAGGTAGCCCCTCTTCCAAGCGACATGCAGATACCTTTCCTTCCTTGCAAACCTTGTGCAATAGTTGTGTGAGCATGTCTGCTATTGTCCTTGTGTCTGTTCTCAGTGCTTCTGGCGGAATTCCATCTGGTCCTGCTGTTTCCCCGCATTTCAGTAGCCATATGGTATTCAGGACTTCGACTTTCGTCGGAGGGCTTATGTTCACTGATAGTTCTGACGTTGCTGTTGATATTTTTGGACGAGTTGGTG